AATAGTTATGCTCATATGGTTTCTAAGTTCTCGATGTGTAATAAAGGAAAAAAATTAAACAATAGCGTAATTTTGAGATGCACATCCCTATTTCTCTTCGAAACTCCCAACCAAAAAGCACCATACACTGTATGAACACTTCCAAGCCTGCTTCTTTAATAGAATCTACACAGACCCCATTTCATGACAATTTCCAGGCTAATTTCACTAAGCTGCGTGGCAAGTGTTCCTTAAATGTCGCTTGCAGTAGCTTTTAATCTTTATTGCAATTATATTTGTTAGTGTCGTGTAACGTTCGCTCAGGCTATTACAGTTTGTTATGATCTTGCTGCTAGATCAATAAGAACTGCAATTTATTTAGGGTTTGTCATCGTAATTTTTTGAGGCTGCTTAATGAATACAGTAATTGGCCTCTTAGCTCCAGACCGGCTTGTTTTTCTTATTCGTTATTATCAGCCAATACAAATACTAAATTCTAATTCTAATTCTGATTGCTTAGAAGGAAATGTTGCACTAATTAAAAGATACCTTGCACCAGGTGCGCAATGAGTTTGTTTTTTACCCTTACTTATTTTTCTTTAGCAAGATTGGAATAAGAAAAAGTCATCAATCGCTGCCTACGTAATTGTGAGTGGCAGCTGAGCATATAATTCGATGTTAAAAAGTTTTTTTTAGACCATTTCACTCAAGGTTGCGTGCGCATCCAAYTTGATGAGTCACAACATCGAAAAACGTAAATTCAGTAGTAAAAATTGAGAAGACAGTTTTATATCTAAAGAAAAAAACATATCCTCCGCAAAATTCGTGCTAGAGTTAAAATGCTTAATTTTGCTAGCTAGGGTTTTTTTAGTTATGAGTCATGCCCCAAGTGACCCCTGATTTAATTTTCGCTGCAGCAGACTTTGTAAACTGCATTTGTTACCCCGCGGACGCTCTGCTGCAGATGTTTGTATAGAAGGCTGCTCAGGCTATTCCGCCGGCCTTGTTATGTTTGTACGTGCTGTAAACTACAACTGATCTCAATTCCCTATGATTGTCACAATTACAGATTTTAATATGATGAGTAAGAAGCCTCGCCCAAATGAGTGATATTCAAGATCTAGCATTTCTTTTTGGCAGATTTCGAACGACACATCAATGTTGTCAAATGTTTCCTTGATGCCTTTTTCTGTTCGGTCGATGGAATTAGACTTTCCAGGCAACAGCTTGAATAAATCAACTGAATAAATCTTTGAAAAATTAAAAATAGCTTTTGAAAATTACTTCCATATTCATTTGCAGATTATTTCTTTTTTCTAAGCGTGAACTAAAGACAAATAACTAAATGCTTTCGACATTGAATTGTGTGATGAGCATTGCCGCTTCCCTTAGAAACTCTCAATCAATGAACACCGTTCCTTGTATGTCACTCTCAAATATTTGCTTATTTCTAGAAGAATCTATAGAGACATTTGATAAGTTTCGAAAATTAAAATGCATATTGATTAGGTTCCTCCAAATTTCAGTCTAATTTTAATAATCTGCGTGGCTCTTTTTTCTTCGATGTCGCTTGCAGTAATATTCAACATCCACTGCTCAAGCTATTTACTGTGTGCTAAATCTTATTTCTAAATCAATAAGAACCGCAAATTATGATTTTTCATTGTGATTTTTATTGAGGAGCCTTAATGAATATGATACTGCAGCGTAATGTTTTCCTTATTCGTTATTATCGGCTAATACTGTAACTAAAACCTTTTTGATTCTATTCGCAGTACAATTATTCTAGCGAGAACACAGGTCAAGAAGCGTCTTCCGTTAAGTAAGCTATAGGTTACATATCAGGCATCCTCTTGTCTTCCCTACTCCCCAGTCACTCTCCTGAAAGCCCCCAAAGCGCCGCTACACAGACTACGTTAAATAGCAGTTAAAAGACATGACCTTCAGATGCAAAAAAAAAAAAAAACACTGACTATGATCTGTAGACGTGGCGGATTTGTTATTCAGCGCCTCAACTCGAGCTGCGCGATCTTGAAGCAGAACTGTTGAGCATGGTCTGCAATGACGTTGAAATAGAACCAGTACTTCAAGAAGTTACAGGAGAGATCCTGACCAGAGGTTCTAATAAAGCTTCTGATGCTCGCCTTGACGTTCATGCACGTGGCTTTTGGGAAAGGCAGAGATTTGCATTCTTTGATGTTAGGGTGTGTCACCCAAATGCAGAGTCCTACAAAGACCTCACCCCCCAGCAAATATACCACCTGCATGAGAATGAGAAGAAGCGCATGTATGCTAGCACAGTCTTGGAAGTTGAATAAGCGACTTTTAAGCCGCTAGTATTCACTAAAAACAGGAGGTATGGCAGATGAGTGTAGAAGATACCACAGTAGGCTCGCCGAACTAATTGCCAACAAGAAAGGAGAAGATTATACCACCACTGTATCCTGGATACGAGCAAAGGTTTCTTTCTCCCTTTTGAGATCAGCTCTTCTATGCCTTAGTGGCTTAAGAACCACAACAAGAGTACTTAGGAACATAAAGGACATAGACTTGGATGCTAATATTTAAATCCCCCATATATATAAATGTTTGCCATTATTACAATTATTATTATTATCTAACATGTATTATTATGATTAGTTTTTACTAAATAGATTTTATGGTTATACATTAATAGATATATTTTTATTATAGTATATTTTATTATAGATTTTCTTTTTCTCTCTTTCTTTTTATTTTCTTATTTATTTTATTTTATTTATTAATTGGTTGCAGATATATTTAGATGTTCCATATATAGATTTTGATCACATTCTTTGGCTATCATGCTGAGATGATATTCGTATCCTAACTAAGGTCTAAGAATCCTAATCCCTATCAACAGATGTTGTGTCCAAAATGAATACTTGATTACCCCTATTTTTTGAATTACTTGTAAGGTCGTTGCGTGAATCCCAACAGAAAAGCACGGACATATAAATTGCTAAAAAACAAGGGAAAAAGTTATTTTTGTTAGAGAGTCTCGAAATATTGGGAAGTCAGTTTACGAAATATTAATTTTATTTAGCAAGATAAATGCATGAAAACTGACCATGATTTTACAAATACAACTCAGTGTATATAATGTACATATGTAAATATTAATTACCATTATATAATAGTTTTATAATCATTATTCAATAGCCCTTTTCTTTTCTTTTTTTTTCTTTTTTTTTTCTCGAAGATATTAGCTTTGTAAGCTACTCTGAAATTCGAGGTTAAATAAAGTTTATGTATGTATGTATGTATGTACTCACATACGGTCTTATATTTCTCTACCAAAAAGCGAGAAGAGTAGCAACAGCATTTTTAGTCGCTTTTTTAGAAACAATGGAAAATCTCTGTTGTTTTGCTTCGAGCTCCATCTTTGTTGTTTGTGATTTGTGCAAAATATCGCGCCAACAGCGTTTTTCACGTTTTGATCACGTGCATTTTATTTTACGGCACGAACACAGTCGTGACACAGCAAGGGATACGCCAGACAAATCACATTGCACGAGAATTTACTCTCCATCCAATCAAATACCCGGAACACGGCATAAACACGGCGCGGACACGGTCACGCCAAGATCACGGCACTTTTAGACCAATCATATTGCGTGTGAAAAAATTCAGCCATTTCAAATTCTAGAAAGTATTACGGTCACGTCACGTCACGCTTACGGCACTGAGCTTTTCACAGTCATACGAAAACTGCACTAAGTTACTTATTTCCCAGTCGGGATACATTTAGATTTAGCTAGTGTCACGTGGTCATCATTTAGCCAATGAGAGTGTTCGTTATATCGGAAAATTTCGTAGCTACAAAAGAGGTTAACCCCATCGAAAATTAATATCTCCCAACAATAACACAACAACAACAACAACAATGGCTTTATTGTGCCCAAAGAAAGTAAATAAAGTACAAAAATTATCTTATTTGGTATATCAGTTGATGAGAGCACAGACATTTAGAAATAGCTTTAGAAACTATTCGAGCTAAACGTCTGGGCCATGCGGAGTAAATTACAAGAAAAAAGTAATCAGTTCAATATTTTCATTGGACAACTACAAGTCAGTAGATACAGACAAACCAGACAAACACTGAGCACAAAACAAAATGGGTGGAAGCTGAATTATCAATATTGATAATATTCTGTGTTCTCATCATCTCTGGGAGACAGAGTAAAATCATCAAGAATATTTGGAAAGACTAGAAGATTTAAGGTAATGCTTAAATGAAGTAACTGAAACCAAATTAAAATTAATGAACAATGATTTTGGCGAAGAGAAGAAGACCAGCAGAAAACCAGGGCCCAGTTGCATAAAGCTCTCTTAAGATAAAAAAGCTTAAAAACACTCGTAAGTATTGTACGTCTTAGGACAATGGCGTATTGTTTTTGAACAATACTTACGGATGCTCTTATCTTAAGAGAGCTTTATGCAACCGGGAAAATCCTTGAAGCAAGGAAAAGAATCAATGAAAAACTCAACTCACTCGCTGTTTTTTTTGTTTTTTATTTGTTTTCACGCGGCAGCCCGTGTTGGTTTAAACAATAGATTATATTTTAACAATGTTTTTTCTGGTTAATAGACTCTCTCATATTGACTGATGAATTACTCCTCTGATAACGCTGTCATTTTTTCAAGTACACGGCTTTCTTAGATAAAACGTAGAACTTGAGCTAGCGTTTTAGTTTTGAACATAGCCGTTTTCTGTAGTGGTTTTAAAAGAGGAAGCATTTAGCCTGAGTGTTAAGTTTTCTTTCTCCTTAAGAGTTTATGATTCTATAAATAAAAAGTGTGCAGTCTTGACATTTATAATAGTACATATAGTGCTTTCAATCAAAATGTCAGCTTCCATCTTTAATACTTTGCCTGCATTAAAGTGCTTTTTAAACTCGTGTCAAAATTTTGTTAACAATGTTAGCAAAACGTATTAAAACTTTGTCTTAAATTTGGATCAAATATTGGAAAAACAATTTTGTTTATTTATCCATCCATCACTGATTGTTAGCAGAATGTTCCAATCTTAAGATTTTCTTTACCGTAGTTTTGACAACTTCCCGCAATTCGCCCATGCGCCATAAGTATATCAACGGATTCAGAGATGAATTGGAAACCATCACCAGTTCGCTACCCAGAAATAACTGGTACAAAAACTGATTATCTTCTGGTTTGGCAAGATCGAAAGATACTGCTGTGGCAAGAGCGATGCACACGTATGGTAAGTAGGAGATCATTATAACAGTGAAAACGACGATCATCGTGGTCAAGGATTTCCTATACTTAGAAACATCAATGTTGGGTCGCGTCGTGTTGGGGTCCGATGAAGAATCAGGAGATATCGATGACGTTATCTTTCTCAAGCTGAAAAAGGCCATGGTATAACAAAATGACACCGTGGAAAGCAATACAAACATAAAAACTTCAATCATTATTAGTAAATGTTTCAAATTTTCTATCTTCACGTTAAGGAAGATTAAGTTTGCCAGACAAAGCGATCCAATCCACCATATAATCAATAGCTTTGCAACCCGCTTTAAAGTTACAACACTGCGATATCTGTTTAAAAGTTTAACTGCAAGCAACCGGTCGATGCTTATCAAAGCCAGCGTCTGCAGAGACACCGAAGCCGTGCAATAAGTTACTGCTCTTGCGATTTTCCATATGTAACAAAAAACATGTTTCTGTTTTTTGAGAGCGACATAGTTTGTACAAACCATGAATGGTTCCCCAATGGTTCCGTTGATGAAATCCGAAAGTGCGAGATTTGCGATGAGCATGAACGAAGGATTGTGAAGGGATGGTGTCTTCCATATCGAAACCAATATAAGGAAATTCAAGGTTGTCGCAATGAGGGATGATGCTGAGTAAACTACGGATATTGAGATACGGTATACGGGATGATCAAAGTAAGCGCTTTCATAGGAGCAAATATCCATTTTCAGTTCTAGACGCTTTTGCCCTGTGTTTCAGCTCTCTTCTAATTTTCTTGTTGAATTTCCTTAAGATAAATATCTGATGAAGCTTGCTTGCTTTATACCAGGATATTGTAGCTCACGCCTCTTGCAGTGCTTTTTATTCGTGGAAACAATGTACTAGAAGTGTTAAATAATAAGAGTTCAGGTGTAGCTTCTTTTCTTTCATACTACCACTCGTCCACTCGGATATGATTGATAAAGCAATAAGCCGTTCTGTCAAATGCTTCAGAAAATAATAATTTCAGTTTTTGCATACAATTTGACTATAAAACATAAAACAAACTATTCAAGTACGTAAATTCAAATATGTAAAAAAAGGAGGGAAAAACGAAAAAATATTAAACTTCTAACATAAGGGAATGCTGTGAAATAAAAACCCTAGAGACGGTGCAATTGAATTAAGATAGCAGGAGTTTGCCATATTAGTTAAAAATTATTTTTTTAAATTTTTATTTAAATCCAACTCCCCATTAATTTGATTCAAGAAATATGCCACCTTTTCTTTTCTTTTACTTTCCTTTCCTTTTTTTTTTTTTTTTTTTTGAAATTAAAGATTTTATTATCCTCTTCCGTCATCAATTTTTTTCATGATTTTATTTGCGGTTTCTCACTGATTGAATCAGTTTATTAAATTATTGATAAATTCAATTCTGTCTTATAGTCGCAATTGTTTTCATAGAAAGCTCACGAATTCAAAATGCACAGAGATCTCATCGTAACTTTTAAACCCAAATGCTTTCAAGTTCGCAACTTTGAACTCGATTCAATTTTTCTTACATAATGTTTATTAAAAGTCTTAGCGTCTTAAAGTCTTAAGTCTTAATAAAAGGAAAACATGATTTTTTGTCTGTATTTTGATAATGATTTAAACATTGCTTGACATTTATTTACTAAAACTAATGAAAGCAACACATGGCGTTTCGATTTTTTTGCAGCGTCTTTGTTTTGACAACAATTTCCATATAGTACTGGGACTAGAGGGATCGCTGGCTACATGTTAAGTAACGTAGAAATGCACAATTAAAACATAAATAATCCAAACAAATATTTCAGTACACTGAAGATGACCAGGACTTAAGGCGCGATTAAAAGTAGCGATTTTCTCTGTAACTTGATTGTCTCGCAACGACGTTGTGAAAGTAGTTGCATGAGGCATTGCAGCGTTTAACCTACAGCACAATTTGAATGGTTGCCAAAAGTAGAATTCGCTTCTACTTTTGGCAGCGATTCCGTCTCCGTTGCACTGGTAAACACTCTTGCAGCTTGTGTCGCAACGCAGTTGCGAGACAGGTTGCAGACGGACAATTGGATCGCGCTTTTAGGGTTGAAGCAACGTTTTAAATTTTCGAAATGGATCGATTTTAACACAACCCACAAACACTTATTTAAACCAAATAAATTTTGATTGGAGCTTATGTTTTTAATCTGAATCTCACTTCATGCTTATTTAATTAATATAATTATTTCCGTAATTACAGTTTTTCTCTACCGCCAAAATTCTAAGTCATACTATATTATAAGTTTCTCAAAAGAAAAGTAATTGCCGAACAGTTATTTTTTTATTGACAAAAGCTCTGCTCTTCTAAATTTGGCATTGTGCTTCTTGGGTATCCACGATGGACACATCTTCACTCGTACTCAATCCTCACTCCACCAGGTAATGCCGTGTTATCGATGAGCTGACTGGGAAGGAGTCCAGACGTTCCTGGTAGTGGTGTATTTACCGTCGGGAAAAACGCACTTTTGTGTTCGGCGCTCTTCTTTTGCCAGTCTTCCCAAATCTGTAATGAAAACAAGTTTATCCTTTAATATATTTTTTCAATTGTTTAAGATCCGACGACTTGATTTAGACAAATGGTTACAATTTTTATAACATGATTTAACAGTGATTGACTCTCTTGCATGGGTAAGAGTCAAACCTTTACTTCTTCATTAGCGGGAAATATATATTAAATATCGAGGATGAGATTGAATATTGGTGACTGATATTTTGCTTTTTCACATTGACCATCATTATATCATTCCCTTGAGTATAACTTCTTTGTTTCCCGTTACGTAGCAGTCGAGAATATATAATTGAGTTTGAAATACTAGAAAGCTATTCTCAGGTGAAAGTTATGTGGTTTGAATTGGAAAGTGGATTGTGTGCATTGCGTACTAATATTAGCAAACTCAGACTGATATGATGAAGCTAAAGCCCCCTTTCCATTGGCCATCCTCCCCTTCACGGGCTCCCATATTCACTTTTTTGGATAATATAATGTGAAGGGAAGGATCATTAGATTTACCTTATCGGTCATGGCATGAACCAGTTGGAATTCAGGTGCGGCTGCAGACTCCACTGAACACATCGTACCACCAATCAAACATTGCACATAATCGCTGAATGAGATACGAAGATCGACCTCAAAGGAATCGAACTGTGAAGGTTGAAAGCTTAACAGCTTTACCAATTCAGGAATTCCAGGAGGATGGTCAAGAAACTCTCTCTTCAGGCATCGTGGGAGGGATGCCCAAGAGGGAAGCTGCCACACTTCTTCCCTGAAGGGACCTGTTTGTACACAGTAGTTAGCTGGAGCACCGTTACCTCCAAAACCACTTTCCCCAGAATACCAAAGGTCTTTTGGCAATGTACCCCAGGGATTACCAGCAACAACCGTCCAGTTCCAGTAAGGAACCGTGATATTGCAGTCGATCTGTATGAGTAGGTTTTCGTACTGGAGAAGATACCACCGATGCCATGGAAGAAAATTAAGCTTTGTGTCGATGCTGCCAGATTTAGAGGTCAAATTCCTTCCAAGCTCAACGAGGGTGTCATACTGGCCCTTAAACCTTTATTAAGCGTTTTAAATTGAAAGAATAACGTCAAATCATAACTAGCCTTACTGCCATAGCTCGAGCTTATGCTATTGGCATAAAAATTACAAATAAGGGATTTTGGCATCGGCTTAGCGAGACTACGAGAGCTGAACACGAGTACGGGTGGATGGAAACTAAAGTTCCAGCAAAAACTTGGTGCACCTTATCAATATAAGGCAAAATATGGCTCTTAAGCTGCACAAAACGTTGTTATTCCACGTCAGACACATACCTTGGATCAGTAGATGCTGTTTTAACAACTCGTATGTATCGTTGACGTTCATCCATTGTCATGGCAGTAAACTCTTTTCTGATTCGAGTACACTGGCCGAAAGTGCCACTTGCTGTACATACACACCGCTGACCACAACTATCAAAAACTGTCTGACCTTCTTGACAACCTGATGAGTATGAAAAAAAATGTAATTGAAATCTTTGCCACATATTTAATTGGACAGCTTTTAGTTGATATTCCTTAAATTTATATGCTTCGGGAAAGTCAAGTTACCAGACACAGTAGTCTTGCATATTGACTGCATATCCATAAATAAAGCGTTAATTCAGAAACGTTATTTTTTTAGACTTTTTAACAAACCTGTGCAAAGCTGTCCTTTGCAAGATTGTGTTTCTGAACTGATCCCAAGGCAATTACGTCCGCCATTTGCTGGTGCAGGGTTGGTACACGTGCGTGTTCGTGATTGGCTGCCTCCACCACACGTGACYGAACATCTTGTCCATTCACTCCAAGAAGACCATCCACCATGGCGTTCTGTGTGAGAAAAGTAATAAGATAAGCCGATTATAATAATTAACTGCTTCAACAAATTGTTAATATTCAATGTATTCTTTCGTATTCACCACATCTATTGATCGCACACATCTGTGTCTCGTTACTTGATCCCGTGCAATCTCGTCCACCATTGGCTGGTGCAGGGTTCGTACACGTGCGTGTTCGTGATTGGCTGCCTCCACCACACGTGACAGGACATGATGACCAGGCTGTCCAGTCAGACCACTTGCCATCAACTGAGAGATAAAAGAGTAATTTCAACTCGTCAGTATCAACTAAACTATATCTGTTTAAAATATGTACTTGATACGGATTATTAATCATTTCAGCTGGACAAATGTTCACTACGAAGAGGAAACAAATATAGTATGTGAAACGATGATCATGAGTTACGATAAACAACAGATAAACTATCTTTTTGATCAAAATGATAAAGACATCTCACCTGGACAAAGTGTTGCCCCACATGCTTGTGTCTCTGAACTCTCCCCGACACAGGCTTTCCCGCCATTGGCAGGTGCAGGGTTTGTACACGTGCGTGTTCGTGACTGGCTTCCTCCACCACACGTGACAGAACATGATGACCATCCTTTCCAATCAGACCACTTGCCATCCACTAGAATAAGACGAAACTTCAACATCATTTCATTTAACATAGCAGAGTTAAACAAAACTTTAACATTACTTACTTTTTCCCATTCTCCACTGAAACTGTTCTTCACCTGGCCCGGTTGTACGAAGGGTTGATAGCGGTATACGACGGATAAATCCTTTTCCAGTGGATAAATTGATGCTGTTATTCAATATATTTATCCACTGGATAGGATTTATCCGTCGGAAAGCGCTATCCACCTTTTGTACAACTGGGCCCTAAATTATAATACATATTTCAATGGTAATCTTCTGACGAAACGCGATTGTTACCTGGACATGGGTTTGCTCTACATACTCTTGACTCCGAAGGGTCTCCCGAACAATCTGCACCGCCATTGACAGGTGCAGGGTTTGTACACGTGCGTGTTCGTGATTGGCTGCCTCCACCACACGTGACAGAACATGATATCCATGAGCTCCAAGTTGACCATCCACCATTTGTTACTATTAGTTAATAATGAGTATTATTATTATTCTATTTGTGACAAGTAAGTAGATGAGTAATAATATGAACCTGGTAGACACGAATGTATTGCGCATGCTTGTGTTTCCGAGATAATTCGCAGGCAATTACGTCCGCCATTGGCTGGTGCAGGGTTTGCACACGTGCGTATTCGTGATTGGCTGCCTCCACCACACGTGACAGAACAGGACGTTCATAAACTCCATAAAGACCATCCTCCGTTTATTACTAAACATTTACCAATAAAAATGCTCAACTTTAAATAGCCAAAAATAGAACTTATTACCTGGTGGACACGTGTTTATTGCACAAGCTTGTCTTTCTGAACTAGGTCCAATACAGTTTATCCCACCATTGGCTGGTGCTGGGTTTGTACACGTGCGTGCTCGAGATTGAAATCCACGAGCGCATGTTTTGGAGCAAGAATCCCATGAACTCCATAGCGACCACCCACCATCAATTACTAACAAGAGAGATTGTATTTTAAATTAGAAAAAAAGATAAAACAAGAGTAGTGATAAAATATTTCACCTACTTGGAGGACACGCAGTTTTTCCACATTTCTGAGTCTCTATATGCTTTCCCTGGCAGTTTCGTCCACCATTGGCTGGTGCAGGGTTGTTGCACTTACGTGCTCGTAATCGGCTTCCTCCACCACACGTCACAGAGCATGGTATCCAAGACGCCCACAAGGACCAACCTCCATCTATCTTAGCTGTAATGGAAAAGAAAAGTTCTCAGCCATATGTGGTCAGGGCAGGATTTTTGCACAACATATAAGAATATGTTCGCCTTGGCGAAATAAAAATTTCTTTTTATAAGAAGGAATCAACAATATACATCAAATACAACAAAACTGTGTTATAAAAGTTCTATCATTTAATACGTATTTTTTCTTACGTGGTGGACATGTAGCATCTGCGCATATCTTTGTCTGTGATGTTGCACCTTCGCAGATTTCCCCGCCATTGGCTGGTGCAGGGTTYGTACACGTGCGTGTTCGTGATTGGCTGCCTCCACCACACGTGACAGGACATGATGACCAGGCTGTCCAGNTTGCCATCAACTGAGAGATAAAAGAGTAATTTCAACTCGTCAGTATCAACTAAACTATATCTGTTTAAAATATGTACTTGATACGGATTATTAATTATTTATGAAATAAATTAAATAGTACGCACGCTGTGATTGGTTGATAGCCATGTTTGCATGAGGGTATGTAAACACAGTTGTGACATCACAACTTTCGTGTTTTCCCGGTACAAGTTCAAAAATTTATAGTTTCTTTCGAGGAAAAATACGCCCCCAAAAATGTATTTTGAAGACGAAATTCCAAATTTTGACTTGTGTCAGTGCCACAGGCATAACCCTATGGTCTCATGCAGGTGTTTCTGATCGTAATATCGATCATGACAATCTCTTGTTGGTCACTGTAACGAGAATTCCCTCAGGAGCTACAACACACAATTTTTCGTTTGTGATTTTGGTCTCACTTGGTCGCGTGTGACTGGGAATCGCAGTAAGTGCCAATGTATTTAGCTTATGCAACTAATTGGGGACACTGAAATGAAACTGAAATAAAGAAATAATTAAAGAAACATAAAGTGTTTTAAGAATCCCAACTGGCAAGGAGGCAAACCAGTTGGCTAATTACAAGCATAATCGAGAAACTAAATTTAAACTAATCAGAAATAAAACAGATTAAATACAGTCTCAGCTAGAAAAACCCCTTTCCATTGGCCATCCTCTCCTTCACCGGCTCCCATATTCACTTTTTTGATAATATAAAGTTACCAGACACAGTAGTCTTTCATATCGACTGCATATCCATAATAAAGCTTTATTTCAGAAACGTATTTTTTTGTGCTGGGCCAATGGGCACAGTACATTTGTTTTTGGTGAGTTAGGTATGATCGGAATTTAGTGTTACGAATGCCATTGGTGGACCTCGTCATGATTGACATTCGTGAAACACGAGGTGAAAATGCACGTTGAGATCTGTAAGATCGAGACACGGAGGAACTTAAAGAGGTTGAACATATGTGGTTTTCGTGGTAAGAGTTAAACTTAATTTGGTAGTATTCTAAGCAGATAATTAGAAACTGGAGCTAAATTAGAAACTTTAAGTGCGATTTTTGTTTTTTGATACAACTCGAATTAGTTACGTAAACAAACGATTGTAAATGGACAGGCCAGGAATTTCTACTGCGTCATTGATGTAAAATAGTACTCGCACGAGTTTTATATTATTTTATTAGCAAGAAAAATGATATTTGGTTTGATTAGCAAAACATATTTATTTCTAGTCGAATATTTTTATTAATTTAACTAAACTTAACTAAATTTCTACTGCGTCATTGATCTAAAATAGTACTATTGGTGTTTACTAAAACAAGGAACGACCTAAAACGACCTGAAACCATCTTGAAACCACCTGAAACCAGCCAAAACATTGAATCTCCATCGAGTTTGTCGTCCAATTTGTGTATTTTATTGACTTTTATCGATCGATCKAGTATTTGTTTTCCTTGGAAGGGATGTACTTCATGGTAGAATGTCATATAGTCGCTCATACGTATAGTCTCCCATAGAAGTATTCCACACTTATACCTCACCTCTCCCTTGCTATGATTACCTGTTCCTAGCTATGATCAACCGTCCCTACCTATGATCAACTGTTCCTAGCTATGATAGTCTTTTTTCCTTTCTCTCACTCGGGGGAAGGTAAAGGAGACTCTGCTCGCAGGGTATCCTGAGGTAAATTTTAGAGGCCAAACTTTTTCTGTAGATGGAGAATCTTCTGTTCAATAATGTTTTTGAGCCGATGGAGCCACTATAACACTGGTTCTCAGAGAGATGGAGGCTTGCTTTGGGGTTTGCGACCAAGACTCGTTTATGCTGGTTCAATTTGACCGTTAAAAAAATATTCAAACCGAATCCACGGACTTATGTATTAAAATGACTAAATCCCAAATAGTCTTCTACTCTATTCAAAGTATCCAATGTGCCCAGCACATTTGACACGTTTTCCCGTGTCAAAACATGTTAGACTTTTTAACAAACCTGTGCAAAGCTGTCCTTTGCAAGATTGTGTTTCTGAACTGATCCCAAGGCAATTACGTCCGCCATTTGCTGGTGCAGGGTTGGTACACGTGCGTGTTCGTGATTGGCTGCCTCCACCACACGTGACYGAACATCTTGTCCATTCACTCCAAGAAGACCATCCACCATGGCGTTCTGTGTGAGAAAAGTAATAAGATAAGCCGATTATAATAATTAACTGCTTCAACAAATTGTTAATATTCAATGTATTCTTTCGTATTCACCACATCTATTGATCGCACACATCTGTGTCTCGTTACTTGATCCCGTGCAATCTCGTCCACCATTGGCTGGTGCAGGGTTCGTACACGTGCGTGTTCGTGATTGGCTGCCTCCACCACACGTGACAGGACATGATGACCAGGCTGTCCAGTCAGACCACTTGCCATCAACTGAGAGATAAAAGAGTAATTTCAACTCGTCAGTATCAACTAAACTATATCTGTTTAAAATATGTACTTGATACGGATTATTAATCATTTCAGCTGGACAAATGTTCACTACGAAGAGGAAACAAATATAGTATGTGAAACGATGATCATGAGTTACGATAAACAACAGATAAACTATCTTTTTGATCAAAATGATAAAGACATCTCACCTGGACAAAGTGTTGCCCCACATGCTTGTGTCTCTGAACTCTCCCCGACACAGGCTTTCCCGCCATTGGCAGGTGCAGGGTTTGTACACGTGCGTGTTCGTGACTGGCTTCCTCCACCACACGTGACAGAACATGATGACCATCCTTTCCAATCAGACCACTTGCCATCCACTAGAATAAGACGAAACTTCAACATCATTTCATTTAACATAGCAGAGTTAAACAAAACTTTAACATTACTTACTTTTTCCCATTCTCCACTGAAACTGTTCTTCACCTGGCCCGGTTGTACGAAGGGTTGATAGCGGTATACGACGGATAAATCCTTTTCCAGTGGATAAATTGATGCTTTTATTCAATATATTTATCCACTGGATAGGATTTATCCGTCGGAAAGCGCTATCCACCATGTACAACTAGGCCCTGAACTATAATACATATTTCAATGGTAATCTTCTGACGAAACGCGATTGTTACCTGGACATGGGTTTGCTCTACATACTCTTGACTCCGAAGGGTCTCCCGAACAATCTGCACCGCCATTGACAGGTGCAGGGTTTGTACACGTGCGTGTTCGTGATTGGCTGCCTCCACCACACGTGACAGAACATGATATCCATGAGCTCCAAGTTGACCATCCACCATTTGTTACTATTAGTTAATAATGAGTATTATTATTATTCTATTTGTGACAAGTAAGTAGATGAGTAATAATATGAACCTGGTAGACACGAATGTATTGCGCATGCTTGTGTTTCCGAGATAATTCGCAGGCAATTACGTCCGCCATTGGCTGGTGCAGGGTTTGCACACGTGCGTATTCGTGATTGGCTGCCTCCACCACACGTGACAGAACAGGACGTTCATAAACTCCATAAAGACCATCCTCCGTTTATTACTAAACATTTACCAATAAAAATGCTCAACTTTAAATAGCCAAAAATAGAACTTATTACCTGGTGGACACGTGTTTATTGCACAAGCTTGTCTTTCTGAACTAGGTCCAATACAGTTTATCCCACCATTGGCTGGTGCTGGGTTTGTACACGTGCGTGCTCGAGATTGAAATCCACGAGCGCATGTTTTGGAGCAAGAATCCCATGAACTCCATAGCGACCACCCACCATCAATTACTAACAAGAGAGATTGTATTTTAAATTAGAAAAAAAGATAAAACAAGAGTAGTGATAAAATATTTCACCTACTTGGAGGACACGCAGTTTTTCCACATTTCTGAGTCTCTATATGCTTTCCCTGGCAGTTTCGTCCACCATTGGCTGGTGCAGGGTTGTTGCACTTACGTGCTCGTAATCGGCTTCCTCCACCACACGTCACAGAGCATGGTATCCAAGACGCCCACAAGGACCAACCTCCATCTATCTTAGCTGTAATGGAAAAGAAAAGTTCTCAGCCATATGTGGTCAGGGCAGGATTTTTGCACAACATATAAGAATATGTTCGCCTTGGCGAAATAAAAATTTCTTTTTATAAGAAGGAATCAACAATATACATCAAATACAACAAAACTGTGTTATAAAAGTTCTATCATTTAATACGTATTTTTTCTTACGTGGTGGACATGTAGCATCTGCGCATATCTTTGTCTGTGATGTTGCACCTTCGCAGATTTCCCCGCCATTGGCTGGTGCAGGGTTTGTACACGTGCGTGTTCGTGATTGGCTGCCTCCACCACACGTGACAGGACATGATGACCAGGCTGTCCAGACTGTCCACTTTCCATCAACTATTCATCAAAGAAAACCATGTAAATTATATCGAAAATGATGTTTTATGGTACTCGAACACCTGATCTGAAGTTCCTTAGTGTATTCAGCACTTACCTGGGCAAAGATTCGCTCCACATGCTTGAGATTCCGAACTCTCTCCAAAACAATCTTTACCACCATTGGCTGGTGCAGGGTTTGTACACGTGCGTGTTCGTGATTGGCTGCCTCCACCACACGTGACTGGACATGATGACCAGGCTGTCCAGACTGTCCACTTTCCATCAACTATTCATCAAAGAAAACCATGTAAATGCTATCTAAAAACGACGATTCATCCGATTTCAAGGTTCTTCGTGTCTTCAGCACATACCTGGGCAAAGATTCGCTCCACATGCTTGAGATTCCGAACTCTCTCCAAAACAGTCTTTACCACCATTGGCTGGTGCAGGGTTTGTACATGTGCGTGTTCGTGATTGGGTGCCTCCACCACATGTGACAGGACATGATGACCACTTAGTCCACAAAGACCAATCTCCATCTATTTTAGCTTTAAAAAAAGAAACGAAAAATTTTTGTTAAAGTCAGTTATTTACGAAAATATTATTCCTTGTAAATTGCTGTAATTACACTATAGACATTTAACAAATTTAGCATCAACTGACGTGTCGGGCATGCCATTATTCCACATTTTTTCGTATCAGTATATTTTCCTACTCATTCTTTCCCCCAATTGGCTGGAATAGGATTTGTACACGTGCGTGTTCGTGATTGGCTGCCTCCACTACACGCCACAGAACAAGAGGACCATTGAGTCCAAGAAGACCAGCCTCCATTTATTTTAGCTATAAGATATCGATATTTTAGTAGAAAAAATTGAATACTTTTGTCAAAGCCATCATTTTAAAAATCAATATTTTTTTGTACAATCTACCTGGGGCACACGTAATTGTTGCGCAACTATGTGTCTGTAGCCCAATGCCTTTACAATACGTCCCTCCATTGGCTGGTGCAGGGTTCGTACACGTGCGTCTTCGTGATTGGCTGCCTCCACYACACGCCACAGAACAAGAGGACCATTGAGTCCAAGAACACCAGCCTCCATTTATTTTAGCTATAAGATATTTTAGTAGAAAAAGTTGAATACTTTTGTCAAAGTCATCATTGTAAAAATCAATATTTTTTGTGCAATCTACCTGGGGCACACGTAATTGTTGCGCAACTTTGTGTCTGTAGCCCAAAGCCTTTACAATACGTCCCTCCATTGGCTGGTGCAGGGTTCGTACACGTGCGTCTTCGTGATTGGCTGCCTCCACCACACGTCACTGAACATGACGTCCATGCACTCCAAGAACACCAACCACCATTTATTCCTATGGTAGGGATATTAGAAATTCATTACGTCCTTACGTCAGATATTGAAAATACCACTTGTTCGAACAGCCAATCAGAACGCGAATTTTAGGATACTGGGAAAAAATGATAACAATTGTTTTACCTGTAGGACATCGATAAGTGTTGCACGTTTCTGATTGCCATTTATCCCACCAATACCGATAGTATCCATCCAGACAGTCTCGATATCTCCATCTTTTACCCCCTCCACAGGTCTTGCTACACTTATACCACGATTGCCATTGCTTATAAATGTCATCACTACCATAACCATAGTAATAGTCTGTGCGATTGGATGAAAAAAAAATTCGGTTACTCTATATACTCTTTTACTCCGACGAAGGACTAGCGTCCGAAACGTCAGTAAGCCTTTTCATCTTTTCATCGTGTCAAATTTACCCTTTTATCATTACTGTTTCATTAGAAGCACCAACGCAGTTCACACTAGCTAGTTTTTAGCTAGTTATCTCTACATGGTGCATTGCGTTTTGATCTAATTTAGTTACAAAGTTCTATAGTCCATGATGCCAGCATTATATGGTACGTGATATTTATGACAATATTAGACAACAATGCATCATGTTTATCGATCGAACTCAGAGGCCTATTATCGGTGCGAACTATTGTTGCCTACTTAAAGGCATTTTAGCGTATAGTCTCATATTTATTCAGCACTTATCAAAGTATTTGAAATGTGAAATGACGAGAGTCTTATCTAGAGTTTTTTTGGTTGATCGATCACTACCAATAAAACGAAACGGGTGTCATTGGAACAAACAGCAACACAACTTAATTCCATCCCAAACTTAACAAAAGTTTGACAGCTGTTAGCTGCAGCTTATTCAGTGTTGTTATTGTTGCGAAACCTTTTTGTATTTGCTGTTATTGTTGTCGTTGTTTTGTTCTGTTTTGTAAGTTTTGTTTCTGCCTGTGTGTGTTTGTTTGTTTTGTTCGGTTTTTTTTTTTTTTTTTTTTTTTTTTTTTTTTTTGTATTCTTATAAGCCGGCGCTTATTGTTCCAACCCAGTAATACATCATCAGTCTATGCAAT